ATAACTTGGTTCTGGTCACATGAATAGTTGTAAGTAATTATCTCATGGATAATAGGACTAGCTAATGGTAATACTTAATTTGTGTGTTTCTTATACAATTAATTAATATGTGTTTATTTTAACTTTGTTAAAAGTATTACTCATATATTTGTATTAGATGAGTGTGGTAGTTAAAATGATACCAAAATATTTCACGTCTTTTTTGAAAAAAATTCAAAATTTTTTTTGAATTTTTGACACATATTACTTAATATCATGGAATTAGTTATATATAGCCAAAAATATGTTAGGAACTTTTTTGTTTATCAAAAAAAAAATACCTTTCAAACAGTATGTACGACTTTTATTTTATCCCAAATGGTAGCTGTAAATTAGCCAAAAATTTTGCATAGCATAAATGCACAGATAGTTCGCCAAAAATGTAATTTCACTAATTAGTAATTACTAGGCACTATCTGTCACATTTGCTTGAAAGTTGATATTTAGACATTTAGTTATTAGTTTAATCAAACCTATGGTAGCGATATCACAACACTGTTATTAAATAATAAATAGAATTAAACACATTTTTTCGTTTTTCCTGATAATGAAAACTATAAAATACGTAACTTTTATTTATTTTACTTAGTTAAATGTTAAATTGTACATACTTTAGTACATCTGAATAGTTTTTGTTATTGACTTTTAATAAGTTAACTGTCACGAGACCGCCGACCTATCCTAACCTTCAGGGTTTTTTTTAACGATTTTTTCTCACTGCACAAACATATTCCTTCTCTTGAAATTGTTGGATTTGTCTACTCAGACCAGACTTACGGACTGTTATCACTTACCCGTTGAACTGCTATAATACAACTGTCTACTGTATACTGTACCTACTACCTACATTTTTAATAATATTTTTGTAAATATGTTATGTAATAATACTTACTAAGTAAAATGTACTTGTAATAGGTAATTTGTAATAATAATTGTTTATAAAAATAAAAACAATTAATTAACTAGGTAACTTCTTTTTAATTTTAAACTTTTACATCAAAAAATATTAACAATTTTTAATTTTAAAACTTTTTTTTTTTTATCAATCCGCTGGCTGTATTAGGTTCGGTCTCTACCTCAGTATCACTCTCAGAACTTACTGGATCCGCTTCTTGAAATATACCCTTAAAGTAGTTCTGTGACTTTCCTTTTGGTCTATTAGTGTTCCTTCTTTCCTTCATTTTCATAAAATGTAAAACTGCTTTTCTTACATCCCAATTAATTAATGCTGGCATATTGTAGTGAATATATAAATAATAATTTTCTGTTGAGACTATCATTCTTGCTCTTTCAGACGTTTTTAGTTTGTTACTAGCACTTATTAACCTTTCCACATCCGCAGATGATGGTTTTGCAGCTATTATTCTTGCTAATGCGATTTTCAAGTTACAATATTCATTAGAAGTACATAATAGTTTAAGTAAATCTGATGGTTTCATGTTTCTATACTTTATAATATTCTCAGACATTAAAAGCTCTTGGTACTCTTGATTGAAGAGCTGTAAATCTAAATCATAACATAATATTTTATGAACTTGTTCAATGTTTGATTGTTGTGACAGTTCGACAAATGGTTTTAAAATATTTATTGTGTCTATATCTTGTATAAATCTTTGAGATAAAAATTCCATTAAACTTTCTCTAATTTCATTAATAATTGCTTGTTTATCTCTTTTGTCTGTCACATATTTATTGTGTTGTTTAGTGCGCCGTTCAGTTGTATGAAGTTTAATACATTTTAAGTATAGTTCTTCTTTTCTATTTTCTATTTGTAGTTCTAAATTATACAACCAACCACCTAATAGATTTTGAGTTTTTAATAAATCTATTTGGTCTAGTACATTTTTAGTTAATTTATCCATATCGGTTATTGTAAGACTATCTGACTGCAATTTTTTTTGGTAATTTGAAAATAAAAACAACAAATCTGCAGTAAATGCAATTATATATATATTATCATAGTTGGTCAAAAAATTTTTAAATCCTATGGATGACTTTTCTGTTGATTTCATAAAATATAAAACCAACACATTCCAAGACACTAATATTGAATTCAAAAGATCATAAGTGAACTCACTCCACCTTACTTCAAACAATTTAGGTAATCTCATTAGGCTTAATTTTTTTTCTTCGGCAATACTTTTAAGTTCACATGTACGAAGTCCTGATGTATGGAAAAATGAACTTATTGCAACTAATTCAATAACAATATGTTTTAATTCTCTAACACTTTCTGACACAGACTTCCATGCCAAGTTAGACCGATGAGCTGCACACCATATGGTCATTAAAGGAGGTATTGATGTCTCAGCCTCAGTATTTTCATCAGCACTCACATGACGCATTTGTTTTAGTAATGCCCATAATCCATTTTTTTCCCCTGTATTACATTTGGCTCCATCGGTCACAATAGATGAAGTTTTTAAAATAATTTTTTTGAAGCTACCCTCACCAAATAGTTTGTCACATCCATCTTCAATTGCTCTAATCATGCCTTTAACCCCACGCTCTTTTGGTTCATCTGCACCTAAAAATAGTAATTCTGCACTACCATCGTTGTTAATTATTTTAACTAAAACATAAATTTTATCAACCTGCATCCGATCTACACTTCCGTCACATCTTAAGGAAATAGCCAAAGTTGTATTTAAAATTGTATCGATGACTCTTGATTTATCAGTATTTGCAATACATTCTAAAAAATTACGGTGACCATTCGGGGATAAGTATTGTAAATCTGTATTGTTCATTTCAAATTCATTTGAATTCATTTGAAAATTAGATGCATACCTAGATACTACTACACGCCCGGGAAAGGAATATCCTGACAATGTCAATTTTTTAGCATCATTATACACATGTATCATACAGCTACCTATTTTGGAAGCAAGATCATTATTAGCTTTTGATACAGCCAAACCAATGGCACTGGATTTGTCTTTAAGGACTTCACTGCTACTTAATGATGACAAACGATGTGCTCTAGTACATAAAATATGACCCTCAGATAACAAATGTTTTTTTTTTACATCTTCTCGATAAATTGTACCACATATTTGAGCAATGGCTGGAACCGTTTTAGAATATATTTTGTTTATATTTGGATGTTTTGAACAAGGGATACATGTTATATAATGTCTACCATTTCTATGACTATGATGAAAAACATCAGTGTCTCCATATACTTTACTTATAATCAACGGTTTAATCGGTTTAGACGTAGACGTAGATGGAGATGGTTCATCGATATTTATGTGTGATGAAGTGACTGGGCTATTATTTTCAACAGATGTAGTAGTTGCAGCTGGAGATTTATCTCTTTTTAACCATGACTGAAGCATTTTGTACTCGAACAGATTGACAAAATAACATAGGTCATGCAAAAATAAAAAACCAAGTTTAGAACATAAATATTCACAAATTTCCAATTATATAATAATAAATAATATGTACTCACAAATTCGCGAAACAAACATAATTGTAGTAACCAATTGACTGTTATCATAGTGATTAAAATTAATTTTATAATATTAAACAAATTACCAAAATAGAAATTTCTATATAGAATGAAAACTTTACTGTGAACCATTGAGCATTTAAATTGGAGTATAAGAAATAAAAACGTTAGTCAATGATACATTTTGATAAGCATGTTATCATGTTATCACAATTGTTAATAACGGTTTGCAACTTATATAACTCGATCAGAGAGCAAGATAAAACCATCGAACATTATCGTTCTATGATAAAACTAAAACGCAATAATTAATTTTCAAAATGTATTTTAAAACATTTTTAAATTTTTTTTTTTCAATTTTAGACAAAATATTATTTTATAATATACAATAAATATCATACTGAAATTCTTATTTTGCACTGCACAAAGTAACAATTTGTATTGCACAATGACTTTTCTCACTGCACATAATGTGTCTCACTACACACTAAAAAAAACCCTGCTAACCTTAATCCGTAGAAGCACGGTATAAATAACTGTAATATTCATATGCTGAATATTTATAGATAGGAGAGTTTAATCGTAATTATTTTTTTTTGAAGACATTTGTCTGGTTCATTCGTTCATTTTTTGATTTTTACTATGAGACTGAACTGTGTGATTTATAATAAAAATATATGTTAAAAAGGTTAACATCAGGTCTTAACATTTTTTATATTTTTTATTCATTCCTATTATATAGTGTTGGTTTATTATTAACTCTTATCCCGGGATTTAATGTAGATAAATATTTGTCGCTCCAGGATTAAATAGTAATACGTTTAAACGGCTCAATGCGCATTATTTTTTTGAAGTATCTATTTCAAAATATTATTTAATTCTATACCATAAATAATAATATTCAGAATTTAATATTTCGTTTGAAATTAAAAAAATACCTTATTACCAGTATAGGTACTTAATACGGCATTTGAAGACCGTTCTCTGGTTTTATATTTAATTTCAGTACCTACGTGTAAATCGAGAATCAATTGAGATAAATTGCATTAAATATTAATAAATGTATAGAGAAAAAAGTTATAAATATATATTATATATTATATATTTATAGTATTTATACAGGTACGTCCAACAATAATTTTTATGTAGTAATTGACAATATTGTGCGGCCAGCGAAACTAGAAGCTTGACCGTCACGCTCCTGGTGGCTGTTTTTTATTAGGACTACGAAAAATGTTTATCGCATAAAATAATTTCAAACACTTTTATACTTGTTATATAGACCTGTTTCATAGTTACTCAACGATCCCGTACAATACGCGCGCGTATCGTATATTCATACATGTAGTTATGAAACGGGCATTTACTACAAAGACATAACATTATATATTTCTATATTACACATTTTTTATGAACTTATTATCACATTATCAAATATAAATAATAATAATAACATTTAAAATATTTACAATTGTTTTTGAATTTTAATAAATTACATTAAAACTTACTCATTGTCGTCGTAGTCATCATCGTCGCTCGAACTACTATCATCTGGATAAATTGTTAATATTATCGGATCTAATATTTCGTCCCTCAGTCCTGCTTTATGGAAATCTTCCTCCTGAATTTTCACACAATGTTCACCACATTTGGCCCAATCATCAGCAGTTACCGCGTCAATTTCTTTATGGACAAGTGCCTCAACGTCAGATATGTTAAATGTGGAGTTTTTTTCAGCCACTCTTCTTTTTAATTGTGCCCAAATTAACTCTATGGGATTATACTGACAGTGGTAAGGTGGAAGTCTTACCACTTCATGTCCCATTTGGTGTATCAATTGATCCAACTTATAAATTTTTCCACGCGGCATCGTAAGTTTGATTTTCGCTCGTAGTTCATCAAGTGTTTCTACGGGAGAAAACTCTATATTTTTTTCGCGCAACATTGCTGAACATCCGTCTTCCTACTATTTAACTTTGGGTAGTCTTCAAGTAATGCAGAATGATAAAATGCGTTGTCCATAATAATAATACTGGGCTCTTCCAAGTTCATTAGCATTTGCAAATACCACTTTTCAAAAATTGTAGCATTCATTTGCGAATGATAATCTTTGGTATTGCCAGAGTTACAGCGAAAAATTAATTTTGCATCTTTGATAAAACCAATAAGGAAGGAGATCAAGCATGACAAATTATAAGGCGACTGCCTTTCCCCGTAGGTACTTTCAAGCCTTCTGTATTTTCATGGTTTTGCCAAATATGTCCTCGAGTATCATTTTGGTTAACACAAGTCTAGTCTAAATAGACTATTGGTCGAGTATTACCATTTGTACGAAATTCGTTCATTTTACGTAAAAATTTTACGCGCGCAGCTACTATGTCCGATCGCTCCATGAGAAATTTGCGACCGTCATTACATCTTTTATATTTAAAATTAAGTTTTTTCAAAATGATTTTTACTGATGATTTTGAACCCCGGTAATTAATTTTTTCTCGTAATGCCACTAAAATATTTGCACTAGTGGGAAATTCTTCCTTGTCATAAAAACTGTGGACCACCCTTCTGACCATTTCGCTGTCGAAATCGTCAAGATCAGTGACAGGTTTTTCACGACTATAACGTTTTCTAGGTGATCGAAATTTAATATCTGTAGAACTTCCGACACCTAACTCTTTTTCAACACCAATAGATATAGTTTTGTATTCCTTACAAATTCTCTGTACAGTAGACCGATTCACCGCATAAGCATCTGCCGTCATTTCTTGACATAATAGTCGGAAAAAATTTGCCACTTCCGGCTGGTCTTCTTTACTAGCTAACATTTTAAAATAATTATACACATTATATATGGTTTTTTTGGTTTGTGAATGAATATCTGGCCGGATCGACATTTCAATTAAACAATATACGCAAAAAATAGAGAAAAACCGCAAAAACAAAAATTGTACAAAAACAATATGTAACAGCCGTATATAAGAAATTCGTAACAAACTCAGTTCAAATTATAACAATCAGCACACACGAAAAACACGTTACACGAAGCAAAGATGGTCTAGTGACTAACATACAGATCATTTAAAAGATGGTTTAATGGTTAGATATTTATATTGAAATCTACAGGTATTCGGTATACGACGGTTACACTATAGCTGGCTATTATATGTTATACGTTATTGTACATTTTCGGAGGGTACTCAAAATTGTTTATAAAACAGCTTTAACAGCTTCAACGCTTATCTGCATCTTTAGATAAAAATCTAAAATTAAACTAATATATCCACTATAATAAAAAATATTCATTTCGGAAAAAAGATCGCGCGGCTGCATAAACAACCAAAGTATTTAGAACCCCTGGTTTTCACGAAAACGACTACTATATAGTAAATTTATAGTATGTCAGTAGGTATGTCGCTAGATAACTTATAGTTATTTTGTCTAGCGATTGGTATACAATTTAATAACAATTAACAATTAAAATTGACGAACCGTGAGATTCTTGACTTAATGTAAGTAAAACCGTAGAATTTTAGATCTGTTAGTTTACTTTCATATTTTTAATTTAATGGCTGGTAAGCTATAAACATTTAATTGCGCTTCAATTCAATTTAGATAATATTATTTGTGTTTAGAAAATATTATCCAATTATTATTAAATAATTTTTCATAAACTCACAACAATAACTTTTCGAATTGTAGTCACTACCTACGTAGGTATTTTATATGATGTCATGTTGGTATGTTTGTGTTTATTAAATTATAGGTTGGTTAAAATTAAGTGGCAAATTCATAAGTGGGTTATACACATCTCTTCACGGTTTTTCTTATTATTATTTCTTTGATAGATATTAAATTGTTTTTCATCAATTTATATGTGTCACATTTATTTTTGTCAATTCACACATCGGACGAATTAGATCGATTGTTATTAAAACTTAATAAACTTTTACCACAGTAGATGTTGACTTTGTTGTTCATAGCACTACGATTAGGTATTCAATAAATTTTATAATGTTTTAAACATTATTTTTATTTTTTAGTTCTTAAATTAAATGAATATTTTTTATTTACAATAATTGATTGATTTTATAATTGTGTTGCACTCTTTTACCATAACATATGATTTGTATTTTTGAACAGAACACCATCATTATATACATCATATTTTTTTAAAACATTTAATTTTTAAGATGATAAATCATTAAAAACAATATTTAAAAAGTATAAAGAGAAATACATGGGTTTACACATAAGTAATATTCAACCAGAAGTTTTTTTTTCATGTGCCTATCTATATTATAACGTGAAATTGGCTGAGAATAATCAATGAAACAAATTTATTATTATAGTAAATTTATTTAAAATAAGGCCTTTCTGGTTCATTGAATAATTATGTACGCATCACGCTTACAATCTTAAAAAAAAAAAAAATTTATCTGATGTTTGTATTCACCGTTCATTTTTAAATGATTGCCAGACAATTTCAAATTAATCTAAATTTAAATAAAATTGGTAGGTATGTAATATTTATATGGAATAAAAAATAAATTACAATACTTTTTGTGAAAATATTTTATTTTTTATTTATACATTAAATAAAATAGAATAATATTAGGTATTACATAGAGCATACACTTTTCTATAAAAAAATAAATACATTTTATTATTTATTATCGTTACCTATATGGGTATAATCATTGATTTTAGAATATACTTAGTATACATACACACACATATATATATATAAAGAGATAGAGTACTTTTATACATACGTTTATGCTGAAAGAACGCGGTGAAACGTATATAGATAATATTTGGTACTAATATTTTTCATTATTTTAATTTTATCCTTAAGTTTTTTGATGTTTCACGGTTTATTTTCATAGATGTGAGCTTTAACGTAACCCCAAAGGAAGAAGTCCAGTTGAGTTAGGTCACACGACCAGAAAGGTCAATTCTGATTGTCACATCGTGAAAGAAGTCGATCCTCAAATTGTTTACGCAATAACATGATTGTCGCACAAGCAGTATGGCAAGTGACACTATCTTGTCGGAACCACATTTACCGGCTGTGTCAATATCATTTAAAGTTTACCATAAAAACTATATCTCGGCAACTAACCTCCGCTTACAATCACTGGGTTTCTATTTGCGCAAATAATTTGAGGAACGACTTCTTTCATGTATGTGGTGATAAGAACTTATATATCAGGTCGTGTGACCTAACTCCACTGGACTTCTTCTTTTGGGGTTATGTTAAAGATCATGTCCATAAAAATAAACCATAAATATCGAAAAACTTAAGGATGAAATTCGTTGAGTTTTTGGTGAACTGGATCAGGATATGTGTCAGCGAATGATAGGTAATTTTGTGACCAGAACTGAAGCTTGCCAGTGGAGCAGAGGTATATATGCCAAATATTATTAAATTCTATACATAAATCGGAGTGTGTATTCTACATATTCAGATAATTTTTTGTTCTTAATATTTTTTTAAATAAAATAATAACGAAATTAAATCCGGTGTTCTTAATGAAACATCCTTTATTAGTTTGATACCTTGTTTTACATGTTTACGATTTACCTACCTATATTTTGCAATTTGTAACTGCTTAGTATATGCGGGAATTTAAACGGCCTTTGCAAATATTCAGTACTAGAACACGAATAATTGTTGAGCCAATTTGAATCAGGAGTTTTTTTCTTACATAATTTTTATTATTTTTGAACATATAATACATTAAATCTGTTACCATCGTCAATATATGTGGGTATATTTTCCAATTTAAACTGAGGACACCACACTCGCATTGTTTTATCTGTTTTATAAGTGCGTAACATAGCAAATTTACGCTAATAAGTTTACGCTAACTTTATCTATTAAATTGAATTAGGGTGACCATTTTTATAAAAATAAAAAACGGAATAAACATTTTTTTTTTTTATTAATATGATAATTTTTATTTTTTCCAATTACATTTAAATTACAATTTATTAAAATAATAAAATAATAACTAAGACTGGAATTTAAATGCCCTAAAAAATTTCAAAAAATGCCTTTAAAAATATTTAAAAATTACTTAAAAAATGTATTTAAATTTATTTATTATAGCCATTATAGGTAGCTTGAAAGTTGAAAAAAAAAATTAAAAAGAAACTAGAGTTGTGAATTTTTTTTAAATTTTACTTACGTTGTAACTTGTTTAGTTGAATGTTCTGTTTTTTCTTTATCATTGGCAGAAAGACCTAGCTATGATAAAATATTTACTATCGACAATAACTTGTCGTGCTATATAACTTATTATTCGTACCGTCAGCAGCTTGTAGAATGTTTCTTGTTGATTGCAACAATTTTCGTTCATTCTATAAACAAATCGTGAAAAATGCTCTAAAAACTAAGAAAACCGTTTAAAAAAATGCTCTAAAAATACTTTTAAGAATGATTTAGTAAAAAAATACAAAACATGCAAAAAACCTAACCTAGCCTTTGTATCAAAATTCCATCTCTAATAATAACTATAATATGTTGCTCTTATTATTTAAAATAGTTTTATATATTTTTTTTAATAAATTGATATTTTTTTAACAAACATTATTTAATAATATGGAAATAACGGTATTAAATCGATAGCATTTTTTAAAAACTGGATAAAAAGCGTCTCATTCAGTATTTGTTGGGACAACGGGACATAATGATCAAAAAAGGGACAATCCTGTTTTAAACAGGAGTATGGTCACCTTAAATTGAATTAACCTATTGTGTACGTTAAGCTTTTACAATCATTTTGTTTTCAAGGGAGTTATGAGCATTTTTAAATTACGCTATTTTATAAACGTAAAACTTGCTAAAAATTAAATCATGGTAAAAAATCCACGGACAAACATAAATTTAATTCTTGCCATTATTTTTCCTTTTAAACGAAAATGTGGAAAATGTTCTACTTGTCTAATTTTGATTAGGTTACATATAACATTTAGGAAATATATAAATTATATAATATTTCACCTGGTAATTTCAATAATGTTATAAAATGTCTAAACAACCTGTAATTACTGGACTATTTACATAATTAATAGGTATTAGAAGTAACGTATAATATACATATATTAAATGAGACGAAACTCTTTTTGACTAAAATCGTATTCTTTATTTTTCGGCTAAATGAAAATTTATATTTTATATGTTATATGTATACGTGAAGAAGAGTATTAAAATTTAAGTAGCATAAAAATTAGATAATATGAAAATAAAAATATACCTACACTTATAAAATAATTATTGTCATTATAATTATTTGATTGGTGATCGTTAGACTTGATTGTAACAGTTATCACCATATATACATAATATATACCAATACCGATTGTTGTGTCATTAGTGTTACGATCATATAATACTATCTAATACACTGTGATCAAATAATAAATTATTGTGAAAAATGATATATTATTAATTCTGTATTCAATAATTTTTGAACAATTATATTCGCTACACTTTTCTATGTGAATATGTAATATTATGTATAGCATAAGTATAAATGTTTAACTTTTTGGTTTGGTCGAAAAGGGAAGTGCACGATTTTGGTCGAAAACGGTTATGCCCATTAAACTTGATATCGGACACGCATGCACATCATAATATAATATTATATGCACGTCATAACGGTCATGTCGTATGGAGGTTACACGTCAATGACCCGAACTGCGATAATGATATTATTATAAATGTGTATAAGCGTATAATACACATAAGTGGGTACACCGGGCATCGACCGGTTTTACGCGAAGTAGGAGGCTGTTCGACTCATGTTTCGCGAAATCTCCACGCGGAGATCCGTGTCCGCCTCTTCTGCTGCATGCACTTCCACCTCTTCCTCCTTCTCTTCTTCTTCTTCTTTTTCTTCTTCTGCTTCTTCTTCTTCGCCGGATCTACGTCGCGGACCTGCAGCGAAGGAGGCAGAGCACTATTTGTCCTTGCAGCGGTCCACCGGTCCAGTTAGCGCAATTTCTCCGGCGTAACGTGTGCTGCGAATCCCACGCAGATAAGCTACCGACCGCGATCCGAACACTGCTGCTTTTACGGATCGACGTGACATTGCGCGTACTCAGCTACAAGACATCCTTTGAGATCTGCAGCGGATCTATACAGGAGCTCCTCTATACGATCCACGACAGCCGCGTCATCGCCGTCACCATCATGCGCCGACAATTGTTCTGGAGCGGTTACCTGTTGGCGCTGACCGTCGCGGCGTCATTGACGGTCGCGGCCCCCGCAGAACCGGCCGCGGAAGACGTGGTGACGTACGATCAGCGGCAGAACGGCACAGAGAACGTGCGGATCAGCCTGAGCGATCTCAAAGTGGTGCTGGCCCCGGCCGACGGGCTGTTCCAGATAATGTCCATGGCCGGTGCGCAGCTGCTCAACTCGGACTTTGTCGGCGCCGCGACAGACCATCGGCCGACAGCGGTCGAGTGCACCGGGTTCAAGTGCAACAACCGGCACAGGCAGGCCGCCAAGAAGTCAGTGCACAAAACAGTATTATAACCTTACATTATCCACATTTAATATGATATTTTACCATAACATTATGCATGCATCACACCGGCAGCTTAATTATTAATATATACAATAAATTGTGTCGTATACGTTTTGTAAAGGTATACAATAATATAATAATCGCGGGTGCGTATACCATTTACCGGTGATAAATAATATGATGTACCTACCCATATTTAATTGATGATTGCGAGTATAGATATTGTAAAAATTATGCACCTGATATTTAAATGCTCCTCCGCCACAAGTTTTCATATTGTGTGCTATTCATGTATATTGTATACATAACATAATATGTACAAACCTATAAAATATAATATATACACACAAGATGAATGGCAACTGTTTAAATGACTATAAGTACATTAATTTTCTTAGTCGATTTTTAAGAATAAAGTTTTTACAAATAGATACATCTAATTTAATATTGTTTTGAATTTTCTTAAGGTAATTAATAATTTTATTTTTAAATAAAACCCTTTGTGATGTATTTGACAAGTATTAATATGATCGAAAGCAGAATAATTTTCTAAAAATATTGATTGCTTATGAATATTAATTTTAGATGACAGTTATTCTATACACAAGCATTATAAATAATTTTTTATTAGTGAAATAAAACAAAATTAAATTTTTCGCAAAAGTCTAGATCTATTATAGTTATTTTGTTTAAAGTTTTAAATGTCATTTAATACATTTCGCGAACTTAAGTAAATAGTCATGACTCGTGATTCGTGAATAATGAGATATGAATAAAATCGACATGAAAATAAAAGGATTACCTTTTACTGTACATATCAAATTACGTAAATAACGAAATAAGATTACCAGAAACTAGCAAAGGTATTAAACAAATAAGTACCTCGAGTAGTTTTAGAAAAGATGTTAGTTAAAGTAGTTAAATTATTACTTTAATTGGATATTTTAACTAAATGATGTACGCTATGTTATTTACTACATTAGGTATATTTATTTATAGGTGCAGGCAGATCCTTTCAACAACAATCATTCGTTATTTTAAAACTTGATAATTTGAAATTTTGTTTTTAGAAAATTGAAGATGAATTTTTAAATTGCCCTGATTATTTTTTTTCTAGTTAGCAAATAAACCACTAAATAAGTTATTAATTATCAAAAACTAACCCTGCATTCATACTTCTTTTTAATTTTATTTACTCAAGTAAAATATATTTATAACAATTTTTAAAAAAAATCTTATACTAGATTGAAAATTGAAAATTGTATGTTTTAAAAATCATAATTATTTATTATCTATTAAAAAGTTCAATATCAATAATAATAATAATGAAAAAAATGATTTGTACATTTTTGTAATTTTAACGAATATCATGAAAATTTCAACTTTAAACATTTATAAAAATTAAAACTAAATTTTAGATAAATACCGCATAAAAAACTTAAGAGAAATTTTGTATTAAATTTTTAAACTTTTTGACTAAAAAAAAAAAATGATATCAATATAAATCGAAAGAAACCTTTCAATGATTAGCTAAAAAACAACCAAAATATAAAAATAATAATATATTATGTCTAGAAATTTCTAGTTTTAATATTAAGCGAAAATTTTTAAGTATTTATGACTTTTCATTAATAAATCATAATAATGAATAAAATCGATTAAATCGAAAAATGCTGGTATTTTTCTCGATTTCCTTCTACTTTTTGCTAGATTTTCATAATAATTTTAAATATATTGGAAATAGTTTTTACTTTTGACTCCTCAAAGCTTCATAATACCAAATACTAACAAGATTCAATTTTCTATCAGAAACCACTTACAATATTGATGTTTGTAAATGCTTTAATGGTTCTAAATAGTAATGACGACCATGTAGAAACAAATTGAAAAATACACATTTTTGTAAAATATTTACACATTAAAAGTCTAAAACACAATTTATGGTTTAAAAACAAGTTGATTAAGTATTAGTATGGGAGAATAATTTAATTAAGAAAGGATTAATAAAATAGATTGAGAAACAATTAAGAATTACAAAAATGGTCCAAAAATATTATTTAAAAAAAAGTTTGTGTTTGTCGTAATGAATTTGAAATTTGAAGAATCAATGAGATATTAATATATTTTAAATTTAGTTATTATATTGTAGTTATAGGTTGTAAGTACAAAATAATATCACTGTAGATTTTGATGTATTATGCTTAGACGATTCAACTTAACTCTTAAGATAAGTTAATCACCTATTTCACAAATTCTAAATTACAAAAAAAAAAAACAAGAAATTTGTTTATACAGACGATTTAAATCAATTAGGTATATAAAATACCATGAATAAACTATGATAACTATAAACGGTTTCTAAATTAAAAATTATACTCAATTTAAGATTTTAATAAAAATATCAATTTTATAAATTTAAAAGTATATAATACATTTAATAAAGAATAAAATATGTCCTAGTTTCACTAGAATACACAATGTATTAAAATATATTGTTATTATTTATTATACTATAACTTTTGTGTCTTATTATGAAATAATATATGCATAGATATGGTGAAAGTTATTGGATTTTTTTTTTTTTAATCAAAATAAGTCTTTTGTGATCTGATAAAAGTGTTTTTCATCCGTATTATTTATCATATTACGAGTATGTTCCTAAGTTTTTATTAATTTTCAATAATTTGTAGTTTATTTATTATTAGTTCTTAAAAGTTATTATAATACTTAATACTTAGTTCATTAATTATTATCTGTAATAATCATAGCCACTAAAAATGCACAGCAAACGTACAGTGTATGGATGCAGTAGATACATATACAATATATACTTGCCTTAATACTAGAATAGAACTTATATACACATGTCAAATGCTTATAAAAAATAAAATTTATTACTTATTTATTTTTAGGAATCGTTTCAAACTATCAAGTCTCATAGCACCATTGTTAAACAACCAATCCGAACAGAAAATTGCAGAAACAGAAAGTATTAGTGCCAACAAAAATACTAATTAATCATTGAATAGCTTTGAAATGTTATTTACAATATCGGCTCAAATTGCTACAGTTAATATCAATACAATGATGAATAAAATTATACCTATTACATATAGGTACGATTTAATACATTTAAATTGTCTGAATATTTTTAAACCTAAAATATTATTGTATGGTATTATAGTAAATTTAATCATTTTAATATTTGTACTTAGCAATAAAAATATAAATTGTAAAAAGTTACATAAACATTAAGTATATTTAGTTTAGTAATTTATTTGTATATTTTTTGCATTTAGTATCTATTTAAAACCATAATTAATACTTATTATTAAATGAAGTTTTGTTCAATATAGAACTTCAAAAAAATTAAATGTTGTGTGTATTTAATTTAAATATATATTTTACATAAAAGTATAAAAGAGAACATTTTTTTATTTTTTTATATATTCACATGTGTAAATGTGTTTTAATAAAACACACACACACATATATATGTAAAATATATTAATGTAATATAATAAAATAATTATTGAGGTTAATAATTATGATTACAGCCTTACACTCATAAACACATATTATTTATTAATGGACCAGAAGCCTAATATAATTCACAGATGTATCTATTCTAAGACCTAAGTGGGTGTTACACATATCCAACTAATAACTTTACAATTAAATATTTTATTAACAAGATAAAAAAGTAATGTAAATAACAAAATCAATAAGATATAATTAATAATAATAATATATATGATAAAAAATACAAAAAAAGAATTAAATAACAGTAATAATATTATTAGTAGTAAAATAAATGTGGGAGCTCATTACTAAGACGCATCATCTTATTGATGGCTGGTTTCCACGATAATTATAAACATTTTAAACTAGATATTTATACAAATAAATAACAATAGGTAATATAATAAAGTATAAAATTTAGTGGTAATAGTTATGAGTTATGACTGTTTAAAATAATGAAAATTAAATTCGTTTACAATGGTAATATTTACAGGTAAAATATCAAATAATAATACTACAACAATATTAAATATTTAAATCTATTTACATGTTTTATAGGTACCTTTACACATGATATATTGATATAATTACCAAGTAATTGTTATTTAAAATGAGTTAATAGCGATGTATATTATGTATTTTTTGTATAGAAATAATATTTTTTATACATGAAACATGTTTCTTTTATTTTTTTATTTTTTATTTGTTATTTCCGTCTAAAATAATGATTTGATCATAGTACCGTTTAATAATTTTTTTCTTCATCACGTATATGGAATTAGATTGAATGTTTTATTAGTAGTTATTATTATTGAAAAAAATATTGATTTTTCGAAGCATGACGAAGGCGTTTGTTTTGAACAATTGTTATGCGAGTTATCCATAGTTTGGTAGTATTACTGATACTATTCTAGTCTGTACACTGGCGTACGAATTATTATTGAATTGCGTTTCCATGTTCGACAATATTTATAATAGAAACCATATCGAACTAGTTGCTATTTAGACTTCTCAACTTTTGCAAGACATCATGTTTTCATGACTCTATGGATGGATTTAATCTTAATTGATTATAATGTCTAAAACATAAAAAAAAGTTAATTAATAAAAATTTAAAAACTTGAATTTGAAACCCGTTAAAATTTTTTAGCAAAAAATTAAAAATTAAATTATTAAATTTTGTATGTGGATGTTTTAATGTTTTAACTATTTGCATTTTCAAGGTGTCTTCTATCGTGCTGTTACTCATTAGTCATTACTCATTAGTCATTACCATTTACTTTTATTCAAAACTCAATATATGCTACAGATCAAGAGTTCAATGTATATTTAAAATCAGAATTACTTGTATGTGTAATGTCAAGTTTAATGTTTATTGAATAGTATTTATGTTTCATATATTAAAAAGTTTTAAAATATTAATATCCATTTATTATTTAATAACATAGTTAATTTTTCTAACATAGAAGACACAGATAAATTCTTTGTATGATAAACACAAATAATTGTCGATTACAATGACCTAGATATCGAAAAGTTGTTATAAGAGAAAAATAGTAAATAAAAATATAAACAAAGTGTTTACGAACAGGATACAGAATAACTATAGAGTACTTAATGACTAGATTCACTCGAGTTACCTGTCTTATTTGACGGCATATACAAGTTGGAATTTATTATTATCGATTAATCATTATATAATATTAAATAACTGGTTATAAAATAATATTTAAGTAATTTACTATTATAAGTTATAAATAATTATAGTAAAATATTTCTATAGATTTACAATATAATATACCTAATAATTATACATATTTTCAGTTATTTAGTAATAGCATATTTGTTAAAATTCTTTTAACTTTTTATTGAAGTATTGAAATCTAAATACTAAAATATTCAATATATCTATAATCAATACAATGAACAGTTTATGATATATAAATGCAAATAATATACGGAGTTATCCATGAAGCATACTCATCAATTTGTCACTTTCTTTTTATACGATAATGTAATTATTTGAAATCTTATTTTAGAATTTTTAAATATATTTAAAAACCGTACTTTTTAAGCATATTTTCTAGTTATTGAGATTTTAAAACGAGAATCTCTTTTTAATACTATAAATTATTTAGTGATTAATTTTTGAGAACATTATAATTTACCAAAATCAAAGAACAAGTAGTTTTTGAGTTATTTAACTTTATGTACTTAGAATTATATTTTCGCTATACTAGTTTTAAAAGATAATTAGATGATATGAGAATTTTAGTAATTAATATTGATCTATCAACGTTTATAATTTGTTAAAATATTATAGTAAATACTCGATTCAAAATAACATTTATTTTATATTTTAATAATACTATTTTTAAGAGCTATTTTTGTTAATATATATATTTTAATAATTGGAAAAAACTCATTCAAATTTTGATTAAGGAACATCAACATTTTCAAAAAGTAATCTAGTGAATAATATACCAAAGTTTGTATCACTATAGGACATTTTTTAATTTGTAGATTCGAAAAATCTCAAGAATTTGAACATAATCATCACTTAAGGAAAAAAGTGTATATTCTAAATGCTTATTGCTTGTCTTATAAACTTATAAACTTGTATATAAATTGTAATTACCAAAAAGTAAATATATTTATACATTTTTTGTCTTATTGAATTTTAAATCGATAAATTTGATTGTATTAAAGAATGAAATGATAAATGGATAAAAGGATAAATTATTATAATTTTTTTAAATTCTAACATTACAAACTTAACTTTTTTTATAATTATTTTCTGTTTAGTGTACATAATCATAATCTATAACCGTGTATTATATCTATACGTTTGAAATCTTGCGGTGGTTTTTTTACAATTATTGAAAAAAAACCACCGTGAAATATTCTTTTTTTATCTAATGTACGCACGTTGTTTTTAACAGTATGATTAACTATTAATATATTGAATAGACTTAAATTAAAACGGTGCTTTAAAATTGCAATTCGGTATTCGAGTAACCGTGATCTCAATTATTTTCATTGCTATACGCTTAAGGACATCACGTTTCAGGATTATGTTTTTTCTTTTTTTATCCAGTACTCTGTTAAATTGATTCAAAATCGTTTTTTTTTACATTTAACTGTTTTGGCAATGAATTTCCAATGACTTAATAATTCGTATCTTGCCGTCTATATTTGGACACGATCCGCATGTTATTATCGTTAATTCAGTAACGTGCGTTTTCGATGTTCTATAATAAAATATACTGTATCTATAACTATTTATTATATAGTAAATAACCATTTAATATTAGGTGTCGACGTTGATATGTTTTAAGCATTCTAAGTATTTATTATGTATATACATAAACACATAATAATATATTATATTATTATATACCTATAAGCAATTACGAGAAAGGGAAATATGGTTACTTAGCAGTACCACAGCTTTGTGGCTATCATATTGATGTATAATATAACCATACCGTTCAATAAAAACTGAAAAAAAATATTGTACAAAAAAAAGTGAGTGGTTATTGACCTTCATTGTACTTTTATTCAAATAAATTATAGGTGTTTAATACAAAAAAATAATTTTAAACAAAAAGTAAAAGTTTTTTTGTAACGATATTCTATATTTATATTAGGTAGGTAGTTTTAATTTATTCTATGAATAAAAAAATAAACCAAGTTCATAAAAGTTTTAAATAGCTATAGTATTTACAGCTAATAATAAAAAAGTAAAAATTTAATAGATTAGTACCAAATCTGTAAAAAGCAATTAAGTGATAAGTATATATATATATATATATATATATATATATAATTTGATTGTACTTGTATAATATACCTAATAAAAACATTTTAACTTTGAGTTATTATTTGAAAATCACTATTTTAGCTTGTACGTTATGTCACGTTAGTGTTCCCTATATAGATATAATATACAATATATAGTTTGCGGAATCGTACTAGCCATATATACATGTGCTAGGTATTGGCGTAAACGCAAACACTCACAGTATTTATACACGCTTAAAAATTAGATCGCTTTTAAAATATTAGCGCGTCGTTATCATTTAATATATTTTATAAAAAAATTTTTGTGAAAACTATTTTTTGAGGCCTGTGCCTCAACCAAAATTAATGGGTGGATTCGGAGTGGTCAGATGCGTAAGACTGTATAGATCAGTAAGTAAACTTATAAGTTATAATTAATAAAAATGCTAAACTAAATGTATAACATAATTTAACTTACCGGTACAATTTATGAAAATGTAGATTATGATATAGCTATTACTAGATACTTCTGTGGCCCATCATGATATTACTAATAAACAGTAAGTTATCCGAAATAGGCAATTGCTCGTACCTCTACTATTACATATAACCCATTTAGTTCACATTCAGCACATTTTATGACTTAAAATTATTCAAATCGTCAAGTTTTATTTTAATTTTAACATATTAAAGTTTTATGCAATTTATGTAGTCTCGATGAGAGTGATTCAGTATTAAATCAAGCAACTAAAAATTATTTTGTGTTATTACTAATTACTGTGAAATGAACCTGTTCAAACTATTCAAAAATATTTAATTACTTGTAGGTATATAAATGATCGACATTTTCTGC